ATTTATTGAAAATTATATTTCCGTGGCCGAAAAAAAAAAAAAACTAGTGTCTAAATGAAACCTTGGAAGATAACTATATAAAAGAATGCTTGTTTGCATACTAAATACTGTTCGTTCAATGGTCCGTTCTCTCACCAGATTCCACAACTGAGGGCCTAACACACATTTACGAGATCGTATTTAAGAATACACGAGGGAACCCAAATGCTCGCGATGTACCAGCTGGGCTCTAATCTACGGGGCCATAGGGTAAACCACGGGTATCCCTTGATCATTGTAAGAGATTCTACCAGTAAAGAGCGGCATGAAAGCGTAATTGACGATATCAATAGTTAGAGGGAAAAAGGGCACACAATCTCCCATGTCCCATACCATGAGAAGGTGGTGTTTGGAAATAATTTTCCCTTGCCAATACCTTGCTTTTCCACCTGCGCACACCTTTAACTACCGTAGTACCGTAACACGTCAGTTCCTTTTCTCTTTCCACAATTGTTGCATAGCATCCCATGTCATGTCAAATAATGAAACGAAAGATAAGATCCCAATCCATTTATCAAAGAAACTAAATCAAAACGTAAAAAAGTCAATTCCATCAGAAGTTGGCAGCGACTGGACTACCATCAACTGACCGTGAGGGTCCAAAAAAACAGATCCTTGGATTCAACTCTCCCTTCTGTTTTTAATGAAGTAGATTATGAATATGTGAAGAGAGAGGAGCGTACGTCGCGCTGCAAACCTGTCATATCACGAGCCCAACTGTTAATTTTAATTGTGGGCTTTAGAAGCCACGCCATTAAATGTGTGACCATTTGCCATTGGGACAAACTTGTGATATCACAAAGCCGACGTTGCACATCAAATTTGCATTTCATTCGTTACTTCGTGAAACGACCTGCCGAATTCTATTCAATCAATTTGGTGTAGATGTGGTAGATTTTTTCAAGTCACTTCAATGTAATTAAATCTTTATGTTTTAGTTCGGAAACCAACATGGAAAACATTTTTCTATCTGTCTATCTGTCGGCTCCCAGGCTATGATTTGCCGAAATCCTTCTCATATCTTGTGTACCGCGTTTCAGACCATTTAATGGCTGCTATGTCATACAGTTTATTAAAATTGGCTAAGTATCAATCCGTGTTTAAAATCTTCTCCACCCTTTCCAATCCTCGTTCAATTTCGGTTCACTCTTATTCCGACTTCTTCGTTGTTTGTCTACGTTGGTAAGCTCTATTTTAGAGATTTCTTCTTTCCCATTCAAAGATACCTCAGTCCTTAAGGTAATAAGCTATATGCGTCAGAAAATCACCTGGATATCGATCTATTACAGTCTAGGGTTGTCACGTCTGATCTCAATAAAATAAAATAAAGCGTATACGGTTGACCTGCAGATGAAATACAAGTAACGAAGTGATCCACACAGGTAAGCTCCAATTAGAAAAATTGCAGAAAAGAAGCCTGCAAAAATTCAGGACTCGGGATTCTATGCTTCACAGATATTAGTTACAGACGTGAAGGCAGATGCAGGGAGCAAGTTGGTTGTGCATTCGGTGGAAGCCGCTGACCCCTTCCCTGTTTCAGAGTTCCATCTCGTCCGAGCTGGCTATCTTACTCTGAGTCCTTCTACTCAAAGACTTTTTGGGGCAACAGCCAAACGTCATGCAATTTTTAAGAGATTTATAAAACTTGGAGCGTTTCATAACCGTTTGCGAACGTAACGAAAGACAGCGCATTCAGTTTTTGAAATGGAATTGACATGAGAGTTTATTTATCTAAAATTTTGTCCTATCGCACGAGGAATTACGAGCATACGTTGTGCAAGTTTAAAGTTTAGGTGCTTCGTAAGACAACGCAAACTTTTTACTTAAATGATGATGGAAGAGTTTGTGAAAAGGGCGTAGCTGGTTAGCATAACTAGAATTTCTAATAAATTATAACCCCCTAAGCACATTCTGCGGTAATAAGCTTCTTCGCTACAGCCAAATTAATCTCTCTCACCGGGCGGAGGATTTTTTCAGGTGATTATGGAGAGTTTGCACCTTAGAATTGAAGCTCGGCATTTCCACAGTCCGTTTCAGTCTTCTCCATTCTTAGCCTTTTCTCGTTCCCTCTTAGTTTGCAGTTGTCTGTTTTGTCTTCCTTCGCCTTGCGGAACCAATATCAAGTGGGATCTTTTAAATTGAGAGAAGTTTTTCATGTCATAAACATGACTTAATAGAACTGATATTGCAACGTCACCCCCATCCAAAGGACAGAAAAAGAAACTAAAACAAAATAAATTACCGAATAAGCCATTAGCTTAAAAGGGTCACGGATGAGCTGCGATTGACCTCTCTTATCTTTTCGGTAATGACAATAAGTTTTTATTTCATTCACAGCTGTGGCATATGCCTTTTAAAAGGCCTGGTATTTTTTAAATACCAAAACCAGAATTATCAGAAAAGTGGTGGAACAAGGGTCTAACCAAGGCACGTTCACCGTCGTTTGAACAAAAGACGATGAGATTTCAGATACATAGCTTTTCACCACACTTAATTGACAGAAATACAATCTGTTAATTGTCAAGGAAAAGACAACAGCAATCTTCACTAAGTATCAGTATACAGTTGACAGATGGAGGAAAAATACACCAAATTACTCTAAAGTACAGATACAACGTCACCCTTGTTGAAAGGTCCAAGTAGATTAAGACTTGAAAACTGGAGAAATAAATACTAAAAAGATGGATATACTATCGAGGGATTTCGAGTAAGACTCTGGCTAAACATTTCCAAATGACATGTACTCTTATCAGAGACATAAACCTGACAGTTTTATGAAAATTTATACATCACCAAAATTGGGCGGATCTGTTATAGTTTTACTATGCAAACACTCGCAGCATCAATCGCCAAAATCTGCGAAACGTTTGCTCTAATAATAAATTATTTTTCTTTCGGTTAAAATCAGTGCTTTTGATGGTCACAAAGACACAAACGATTTCAAAGGCATCAACGGTACTGACTGAGTGGATAATGGCAAACTTAAAACAAAAAACTGTCTCAATCTTGGAAGCAGTCTGTTTAAAGATCTATTTTAGTTCTATGACAAAATTGTGAAACAAAGTGATTACATTTCAGAAGCGAAAGAGGGCAAACAAAGCTAGTGTGTAATTAATTCTTACATCTAATTGGAGCACATTTTAAGCATCCAGAAAATCTTTTGCGAAGTGGAAATAAGTTCAGCTCCTATTTTCAAGATTGGGTGGACGGTAAGATCTATTTTCTGATGTTCGCAGTTATCTCTCAAGTCAATCTTCACGCTTGCTTCTCTGGTGAGGTCCCAAATGGAATTCGAACCTTGAAATAAACACGCCACTACAAAAATAAACACATTTCGCAAGAGCAAAGCGTTAATAATGGGACACGTAAATTAAAACTGACATCTCTTAAGACCTTTCGCTCAAGCGTGATCATAAGGAATCCATGTACGGTAATCACTCTGTCAATTTGCTGGATTCAGTAACAAAAGTCCAAAAGTGGGTGGATCATCTAGAACAAAACCAAAATCTTTTATTCCCATGACACACTCTTAACTCGATCCTTACAAGGAAGAAACTTAAGTCAATAGGCCAAAGGATGCTGTTTTGTGTTTTCTAATTAAATTTTGGTGCACTCAATATTCGATAACACAAAGGGACCCATTTGAGCCGATTTCCTAAGATGCCATGACAACGAAATGTTATTCTAATAAAACCCTTGAAGCCTGCTCGCGAAATATCAAATCGACGCCAAACAAACAACACATTGTGTTCATTCTTGTGGGTTGACTTCTGCTTTATTGCCTTCATTAGAACGGAAATTAGTTTGGAAAATGCTTTTTGGGAGCAATTCACAAAGGATATATAATCGCTTTTCACTGTTGACGGACTCGAGAATTCTAAAGTATTTTTCATCACAGAAATGACATATTTGTGAGAATGGTCCAAAATAATATGTTCCCAAGGATTTTAAGATGTACTCAGCATCAATTGGCTCAGCTTTGAGATCAATGTCGAACGAAATGAATTCAAGTAAACGGGGGGTCTTGATTTTCAAGCTGTTGAGACCAATTTGTTTATACAACTCCTTATAATACTGGGACAATTGCCTTTTTGAAAATTCGCAGCAAATTATTTCTTAGTTATTGAAATCATGATTCAGTAGATGGAGGGGTTTTTTAGCGCGCGACGCAGGCAAAAGAAGGGAGAAAGTGAACCTTCTGTCGCTAAAGATAATTGAATAATAGCAGGGTATAGTTTTCATTTGATCGAACATAGTTTCTAACACAATAATAATCTTCTGTAGGAAACTGTATCTTAGTGATCAGCGTCACAGCCGTACTTATTCGTTTATCAATGTTCGGAGAGTCAGCAAGTCGTAACAGCTTTTCTGCCATGTTGAAATTATTCACAGTGAGTCACTATTCACACGAAGTCGCCACGAAATCGTATTTTAAAAGAAAGTCTAAAAGAAAGGAATTAAATATCTCTCAGTGTGGTATGTCTAAATGCAATTTTTCTTTCACTCGCCGGGCGGCATTCTGCTGTAACAAGATTTGAATAAAGACCTCTTAAACATTTATTAAGCAGAAACAACAGGATGACGCATATAGGAACTTTATTCTTTAAGTTTTACACAGGCAGCTGAGGATTAACACGATCAGACAAATATCGAGATCGACACCAAATTCAGAAAGTTCCGACCCGATAATCCTATCAAACAGCGTCATTGCTTATTCTGTACAAAATGAATTTATGAAGCAATTTCAGTGTTGTTTTCTGTTTGGTCTAAATCCCCGCGAGCGGATAATGCTATTAAATCTTATAATATCAATGTATTAACAGAACTTTTGCATCCAGGAAAAAATAGACCTTCCGTCTACAAGAGGATTGATGTACATAGCTACGTGACCTTTTTTGGCTGTAACTATCATTAGTAATCGACTCAAGATAAAGCAAAATGCAACAATAATTATCATATTTTATCACAATTTTCGATCGCTATGTTTTTATCTAAAAAGGTACAAGCTAAAATCATAATTAACGCAGCCGGCTACAACTTGTTTTTTTTACTTTAGTTCACATATGCATGCATAGTGAATCAAACGCCTGTTCTACCCCTATTCGAATTCTCGTGTGATCGTGACACACTGCTATCATTTGTTACAGGTCTAAAAGAAGTAATGTAATAAAGTCTTTCCAATCATATACAGCGTTTTTGTGTGTACACTTGTTCGATGGAACAATAAAACTTGTTTTGTATTCAAATTTCGGATGAGAGATGCATTCAGTCCGCAATTTTGTTCGCGCTGTCTTCTGACAATATGTTCTCGAAAAACAAAAGGTGAAATAAACGAAGAAATTACTGTACTTTATGTTTTTTTCCTCGGGAATTTTTGTCCTTTTATTGTTTCCATCGATAGAGTCGTCGTATATTTGAATTAGTACAGCTTTGAAGTCTCCGAAAGAAAACTTTACGACAAAAATTAACTTACAGAGGAAAACCGCGGAGCTTACATGATTTTATTTAGCACGGATTAAAATTCATACTTTTCAATAAAACCACAAGGATATGTAAACTTTTGTTTTTGCATTAATCCATCTTAAACTCCTCAGGAAAACGAAATTGTCGGCAGCGGCAAGACAGAAATGTTTTGTCCTGCTGTCAAAATGTTTGGGATTACTTTGCTTTGTGCGATGAGGAATCCCTCTGTCTCGATGACATGTTAGGCAAGATTGCGGCCGATTACAACATGTCCATCCCATTTTACTTACATGCACACTCCAAAAATATCTCTTAACTTTGTTGCTTTGCCTTGCCGTTCATTCGTATCCAAGATTTGCAGCCGCTACTACTTCGGCTTGCTGCGCTCGTTCTATAGTTGGTGGCTTCTGTTACGGAAACTTCATCCAGAGCATTGTTCCGAGAGACTTCTCTACGTCTGCAAAGCATTCGGCTGAATGCTTCGCGAAATTCCTTGTTGAAAACCGTATATATAAGCGGGTTTAACGAACTGTTCATTACCGGCAAAACGGAGATAAATGGGATACTTACTACTTGGGCAAGTGCTGGGTTCTTCTTAAGGGGTTCGAGGCAGGCTGTACACCACAAACTCGTGACAATGAGTATGAAAGGCGGCAACCAACATACAATAAACACTCCAATGACGATAGCAATAGTTTTTGTTGCTTTCAATTCACGCAAAATTCGCCTTTTCCCTTTGTTTGGGTCAAGAGAAGCGACCGCTTTTGCCTGAGTGAACGCAACCCGAAACACGCACGAGTACGTTACGATGACTATTAGCAGCGGCAAAAAAAATGCAACAGCCATTGCTGTGGTGTAATAAATCTTGTCAGATTTCGCACAGGATCGTCCATCCATTGTGTTGATTTTAATGTTACTTTGGGAGCCTCCTTCCCAATTGACTAGGCTCAAAACTCCCCAGAGCATAGCGTAAACCCATACAAAGGCGATTAAAGAGAACCCCACTCGCTTGGTCATACGGCTCTGGTACTCGAAAGGTTTGGTGATAGCTAGGAAGCGATCGATGGAGATGATGACTAAATTACACATAGAGGCACTACTAAAAACAGTGTCCATAACTATCCAATATGCGCAAGTCGTAAAGTCTCCCTCTCCCTTATCGAAGCACCAATGGTTGTTGTGCACGCTGGTGTCGATACGAAGCGGAAGATGACCAAGAGCGACGAACAAGTCAGATACTGCGAGCGAGATGATGAAGAAATTAGTCATTCGTCGCAAGCGATGGTAGAGATAAACCGCGCTTATTACGAGAAGGTTCCCAAATATTGTGGCCAACATTATTAACACGAGAAATACAGTGTAAAGGATGAACAAAGGTTGTGTCGACTTCTCGCAAACGCCTAAATCTCCACTCAGCGTCGAGTTATTCGCATGCATGGCCGTTTTTTCTCCTCGAGGAATGTTTCGCAGTATGCTGCTAGGAACGTCAACCGTCTACAAGTCCTTCAAATGACAACACCAGTTGTGGTTGGCGAGTTTTTATGCTCGCTTGCCCTGTAATTATTGGCTCAAATAAGCTGGCAATTAGTATGAATGATATGGATAATGGTATATTATTAATTTGGGTTAATCAACCGCTCCGTTCCTGGGGTCGCGACGCTGAAAGATGAATGATCATAAGAGTTTAGATACTTGTCAAACCATAGCAACCGGTGAACATTCCTGATCTTGTGTTGATTACATTAAGAAGTTTGTCATTCAAGTTGCTGTCCAATGCAGTCACAAGATTAACCTTAGATTGTCCGCTTTGACAGAAATCATTTTCAAATGCTCTATTTTTGTCCCAAATTGGATGTCCCAACAAGGCAAGATATGTCTCAATCGAGCGCGTAACATGAAGAATTGTTGTTTTGATTTTTCGAACGGAAGCTTTTGACGGTTTGTAAGTGGCTCACTAGCGGGGGCTTGTGAAAATAAAACGCCCGCAGGCGAAAGCAATTCACCGCCAGTCGCCAGAGATAAAGATTGCCAGCGGATGAAAGGCGTAACTGCACAATTTTTCATATGAAGTTTTAACATTTCTTGGTTTTAAATCAGCGTAGGAAAATACTTTCGAAGGCAGCCTAAATTAGCATCAGGGTAAGTAGAATCGGTTAGTGAGATATTGAACGCGCTCCGATCGCAATTTGTGGCTTTTTCGACCGCTAGCTGCAGGAACGGATATTATGAATTTTCCACGGACATTAAACAGGCGAAACATGAGCTTTCGAGAGGACAAGCAATTTAATCCTTCTCAGTTGCGGGGATAATTACTTCCTGTTAGACGCACCTTCAATCAACCTGACTGGGCAAAGAAGAATAGTGTTTTTAGCACTTAATACGTTCAATTTTTACCTACTTTGGATTTTTTCGCAATGAACTTAGGATAAAATTACTTCAAAAGGAATGTCCTAATATGGCCTGTAAAAGCACCGTGTTTTGATAAAGAGTTGATAGCAAGACAAGGCATGTTTCTGATATCGTTCTACCCCGAATGGGCTGTTTAGTTTAAGCTCGTACAAATGCCATATAAATATTATTTCAACAGATTAAATAGATACTCGAACGCGAATTAATTAGCCACCTCAGCTAGGACGAAAAAAAAAGAGTAAGAGAGCGATATTGAATTGCCCATTCAGTTCCATCTTGCGCCGAAAGGTGATCTGTGGCATGGAGTAGTATATTTTCCCGGTGGTTTCCCGCAAATTCCGTTTCTGCACGATGATTTCGTGCATCAAAGACGAGACGAGTTTAGAGAAACTTTATCCAAACGTGCCACGAATGCTAATGACGTTCGAGACAAATTTCTTTTTGACGTCCGCAGTGGGGAGGGAGATCGACAAATGATTAACAGCAAGCATGCTTGCTAGTAACTCAAGGCTAGAAATGACTTCTATTTTCCACTGAGTCTATGAAAAAAGCTACCGCCTCGCCTTTAAAATTGGTTAAAAGACGACTGCTTGTTCACAATTCATTGAAAATCTAATTAAATGCAGCATTGAAAAAAAAATTTTGCAACTGCCTTTGCCATCTGACACAAAATACTAAATAATTGACACATTTACATAAGCTGAGTGTAACTTTATTTCCTCGTGTTGGTTTCTAATTCACTTGTTAAGCAAATTTCAGACGATTTGAGTGGCACAAGGATATTGATTGGAAGTTTTCTTTGAATAGATTAAAGAGCCACACGTATCTACTTTTATCTACATCTTCAGTTCAAATCTTCGATTAATGATTTAGGATACTCCTAAATATTTTGAATGAAGATGAATCCCTTCCAGTCTTTTCTAGACTGAATTTCATGGAAGTTTCTACAGAAACGTTCGTGTGTGCAGTCTACTTACGTCTACGTAAATTTTCATTTCCAAACATTCTTTGCTGTTAAATTCAATATACGAAGAGTCATCGGTTCAGAAATTTCCGAAACCGCGACGATGAAAAAGTTCGCTTATCTTAAGTGAGGTTCTGTTAAAAGATTGTTGAGCATTTTACAGTAAAATATTGTTGACAGTCCGCCGCTGTTGAAAGTATTTGACCCCCCCAAAAAACAGAGATCGTTGCGCTAATACAGAATAATGGGCAGCATGAGTTTTATCTCCTTATCATTCTAACACTGAGAGCAATAAAAACGTAAAACAAATAGGTGCGATTGCTTGTCATATCGCACTTAAAAATGACCAATCAGAGACCGTAAAAATATACCTGCTTTTTCAATTAGGCTAATTTTAAATTTGATTATTCAAATTTGAAAGTCGAACAAAGTAAAGAGGAAAAATATCAGCAGCAATGGCGTTTGAGCAAGATTCTTTTCTTAGTCTTTGATAACAGTTACTAAGAAAAGAAGTCCGTTGCAATAAAGTATATTAACCGAACAAAAAAAAAAAGATAGCAAGTATTTATTTTGTGACCGACTTAATTATCTGGATTTTTTGCCAAGTTTTTCCATGATGTTTTATGGCGTAATTTTATTTCCTTTCCATGTCATCAATGGCAGATAAGATCGTTTATTTTGTGCCACGACACGAAGTTCTTCAATGTGACCTGAAGAGTCAAAATAAACCATCAGCATATTTGTTGCTAATTCCACTTGACAGACAAACTGGAAGTGAAATATTCAAAGAGGCAGATTTCCAAGAGGGTTTTATTAAAAGGAACAAAGGCACTGACTTTTAAGACCTCCGCGACTGTCTCTTCCACACCAAAATTATACAAACAGGTAAGTGTGTCCTTTTTACAGACATAAAAGTTTTTTTTTGCTCGCGTAGGGAAGAGCTAAATGGATCTGACCTAGAGGTAAAAGGCACCCGCGGGTTTGGTGTGAGAGCGAAATGGAATCATAAGAAAACAATTAAAATGCTTTCAAGCACTTAAGTGCTGTAAGACATGCAAGAAACCCACAATATTAACTTTGAAAATTCAGTTGACGACTATCTATCATCTCAGACGGCAAGGGACATCTTGGTTTTTTTTTTCTTGTTCAGGATCCACTTACTGGCGGCGCCGGCTGCACCTCACTGTTAAAAATGCATTAAGCCCGTTCAAGCAGAACAATATGTGCATTTGAGTTTTTTTTACCTTCTCCACTTTGCCAGTTTTTTAAAAGCACTTTTTGTAACAGTTTTTGGCGTTTTTTTCTTCAGCAGGGTACGGCCTGGGGGAACCAAATTGATTCATGAAAAGATAGTCGTCGAGAAGGCACAACGACAGCACCCCATTTTTATCATGGAGCTGTGATGTACAATGTTTAATTTCTGGAACGTGAGATCATCAGCAAGGGTTCATAGTCAAAACACAAATTTGATTAATCACAGAACAAAGCGTAATTTTAAATAACAAATAAGACGAGGCCGAAGGTTTGCATATACCTAAGAGACAGACAAACATCATTATAGTAGGCAAGCTTTATGATGGCTTAAGCAACAGTAATTTCTCCTTGGGTAGTCCTTCTCTTTTCTTTCTTACACTTAAAACTCGGGCCACTGTCTTGAGTCAATGAGCCGAGAAATTTATGAAGTGATGAGACAGATCTTTACGTCTTGCTAAATAACAGGAATTGGCGGCTTAATGACTGAACGATTGTAGCGCACAGGAAAAGGAAAGCTGAAAATGATAATAATATGCCGTGACAGATGGGGAGTGACGAAGGCAAAGACGTCTTCCGAAACGGGCTACAAGTATGCATGTTTTGGCCTGTTACGTCGATTAGGCTTTAGTTTCGACCAAGTTACTTTCACAATTCTCAAGATCAGTCAATTTGCTACACGGATTCTGTCTCCAGTGGCGGATTTAATTAGATGTTACCTGATCTTTTCTGTCTTTGTTAATGTTCAAGAAATAAACATGAGGGCGTCATAACACTCCTCATCGATAGCCGTTCCCTCCCTTCCGTTTCACCTTGGGGGGAAAGGGAAGGTACGGCCACACGTAGGCGCTATCCCCATAAGAAAAAAATAGCTAGGCCACTGAGGGTCACAAAAAAATTTTTAATTGAAGACTTTCTAAAAATGTCAAACGTTGAAAAACTTTTATACATATTATAACAGACTGAAGACTAACGATGCGATCCGCAATCCTAAGTTCTGAAGACACAAAAATCAGAAAATCACTATCTCTTGCAAAAGACCAGGCTGCAAGGCGTGAACTTTTGAAGCAAAACTCGCCAATACGTAAACCTATCTAGCCCCCTCCCACAAGGAAGAAAACGGGAAAACTGTTCACAGTTCATGTTTTTAGTATTGCTGCATAAGTTCTTGAATGATTACAAGAAAAATTAGTAATTTTTCAATAGGAAACAGCAGATGTTTACAAGCAAAGTATTTTCCATCATGGACTCACTTTTAGGGCGATATCAAATAAAGAGCAACAACATCAGCAATATATATTGAAGTAGTGTGATTTTCCTGATCTCCCGTAAAATCTTTGTTCCTTTCCACCTTTAATATTTTCAAGGAGTTGCGAAATTTACACCTTAGGTTATTAAGCAATCTTATTAAGTGAGTTCGGTTCCTCGTAATTTAATTTACAGTATTCGAAACCACACGTAATTATATTCTCGTTAAATTTGGAAAATTCTGCATTCCTTTTGATAAAGCTAAATTAAATTTGTTTTCAGAATTACTTCAATAAAGGTCGCTATGAGTCTGGAATTTTCAAGATTAACAAAGCGTCTCAAATGAATCGTTAAGGACACAAATACAGATTAAGCAAATTTACTTTTAATCCCTTTCATAGGGTCCAAAGTAATTGTCTTTTATTTGCTGACAAAAAAGTTGTGCTTTATTCAAATATAACAGCGGCTAAATGAAAACAAGTAATTTTGTCCAATATATTGTATAAAGGACTTCCGACAAGGGGAACGTGATTTGATTGTCAGTTTTCTTATTAAAAACGGACTCCTCAGTTCCAAAGTTAATTAAATTTCTTTGTTAAGGCGACCCCGGTAGCCATACGCCAAGAGCAAGATAAACAGAGAACAATACAGTGTTATGTACACTTTTGGTCCCAACAGTATTCACATCTCTGTGATCACTTTTAAAGGCATTCGATAATTAGTGAAACAAATCTTGCGTTACCTTTCCTATGATCCATCAATATTCTGTCTAGTTATCATATCATTTGCCCGCTAAGGATAACTACTCATTACAGGGTCACTTTTGAAGGAGCATACATTTAGCGGCTCTTTACGTTTCGCTCGGCAGTAGACGAAATTGAACGACGAAAAATCTCTATGTGCGTCGAGTCTTAGGTCTATAGTTTAGTTGCTCGTTTGGTGGATGGTTAAAGGTGATGACAAATCTGGTAGAAACCGATGACTGTTAAATTAGTCAAAGTTTCCCGGAAGTGTTTAAATAACATGCGTTTTTTGTAAAAGGTAAGGGTAAACTGAAGAAATTAATAACTAAGTATTTCGTAACTAATATCGCATGGTGCGTCATATGCGGTTAAGAAGCGACGCTTTAAAATGAATTAATTCAAACTAACAAAAAAAAAAACAATAATATTGTCACATTATTACGCGAGGTGATGACAAATGTGCACGTAACAAGACACATTACACCATATGTTGGCCAGACTTGGAAAAATGAGAGAGGAGAAAAGAATTTCTTACGTCAGGTGGTGGGTGT